TATGGCAGCCATCTTGTTTTCTTTGAAGTTGTCATTTTATCGAATATTTGAAGTGTATTTCATCAAGAGTGGTTACTTTTGCCACAGTGAATGCTATTTAATTAAGTTTGTACATTTCAATGTCTTTAAATGCATGATATCCCTCACAACATTTTTTACTCGAAATTCTTTAGCGGCCATCTTGGATTTTCACTTTTAAACAAAAATGCCCAAAGTCTAGCATTTGGCCCCCATTAGATTTGAAATCAGCAATGAAAACTCTGTTAGAATCACCAAAGAAAAAAACTTTATGACGCAAAACAAGCTTTTTCATCTGGCGCTCGGACTATATACAGAGAAAGGATTCCCGCCCGGGGTCAGACTCGTTTCCTTGGAATAATATTCTATAAAACAAACTTACTTTCATTCCACACATAAAAGACTTTCGTGTGAGGTGCCAGAAAGCTTACATAACTTTAAACGCTTTAAAAATTCTATTCCATCCGGAGTAGAGCGCAGGACTCAAAACACCTTCTTCACCTTTTGTACTGTTCCCTTGTCCGATCCAGGTTTGACTACGGCTGTCAGGTCTACGAAACGGCAAAAACGTATATTATCCTGAAAATTCTAGAACCCGTACAAAAACAAGGACTCTGCCTCACCTTGAGAGTTTTCCGCACTTCTCCAGTGGAGAGCCTCCACGCCTAGGCAAACACACCGTTACTAAAATTCAGACAAACACAACTCTCACTACAGTACGCAACAAGAAAATCCAGCATTTTTGGAACACACCCAGACACAATAAACATATATTCAAAAACAATGACAAACTCATCAAACCTTTCAGACTGAGAGTCTGAGAGTCTTTGAAGACCTCAAAAACTTAGACTTTTCCAAAAAAGACATTGAACAATTTATTTCTTTTCACCGACTTCCCTCCGTTGCACCTCACCAAGGCAAAAGTAGACTTAGAACTCACCACACACAATAAAGCAAGCACAAAAACCAAAACAATTTAAAGCCGCATACAAAAACCTTTTCTTTTTAAAAACCCAGATGCAGAGCTGATCTTCACAGACGGCTCTAAATCGGACTCTGCTGTGGGCGCCGCCGCCCTGCCCTCAAACAGTACACACCAGAAAAGAGACTCCATCCCGAAGCCTCCATTTTCTCTGCGGGGGCTGTAGTTGTGCTGGTTGAATTGTAAATTAGGGAAAGTAAAAATAAACTCGCTTCCGAAGAGGATACATCATAGAAATCTCGTGGAGACCAAACCTTGGTTCCTATTTAAACAGTATTAAATCAAGCTGTTGAAAACATGTGGTTGAACAGAGCGCTTACAGAATTAAAGTTGGGATATGGGAAGGGGAAAATTGGATACGGTACATGGGAAACAGAGATGAGAGATGGGAAACAGAAGGCGAGGCGGGATTCAGAAGATGAGACTGGTCATATGTGTACAATAATGACTGCATAGCACCGGGTTAGCCTGAAAACCGACGCGGAGAGAAAATGACAGGAAACAATTATTCTTATTAAAATAACAAACACCCTCCCCCCCCCTCTCTCTCTCTCTCTCTCTCTCTCTCTCTTCTCTCTCCCTCTTTCTCCACCCCACTTCTCTCTCTCGCTCTCTATATCCCTTTTTCACCATCCCTCTTCTCTCTCTCTCTCTCTCTCTCTCTCTCTTTCTCTCTCTCTCTCTCTCTCCCCCCCCCCTCTCTCTCTCTCTCTCTCTCTCTCTCTCTCTCTCTCTCTCTCTCTCTCTCTCTCTCTCTCTCTTTCTCCCTGCCCGCAGACAAAATTGCATGCGTTCAACTCAAGAGCGCTGGAACGTTTGTTTTACGCTCGTATCACGGGCCGTCACGCGTTATCACAAGGGCCCGCCCAGGTCTCGCGCGACGCAAGATAGGGCAATTGAACCTTGCTATACACGATCTAAGTTTTAAAAAACTGTCTTTCCTAGGTGGTTTAAGTATATTTATTATTATGTATTTATTATAGCTGATATCTCGAGTGCCCCCCCCCCCTTCTCTCTCTCTCTCTCTCTCTCTCTCTCTCTCTCTCTCTCTCTCTCTCTCTCTCTCTCTCTCTTTCTCTCTTCTCTCCCTCTCTTCTATCTCTCTCGCTCCCTCCCTCCTCTCTCTCTGTATGTGCGCGCGCGCAGTGTGTGCGTGTGTGTACAAACCCAAACCCAGCCGAACATTCAGGGGCGAAAGCTGACTTGTTTGAAAGGGTAATCAAAGTGAAATGGGACCAGATATTGCCTGTAGATATCACACAAGAATCTTACTCGAGGCGGCGACTCTGAGTTGTGAATGAAAACAAATCCGGAATTCATATTGTATGTTCAACCGCCAAAATAATCGGGAAAGTATCTTATTAAATATCAATTCCAACTAAAATTAAATTTAACTTTAGATGTGAATACACAAACACAAAGCAAAGAAACAGAGATGTCAGTACTAGATCTATATGTTATAGATCTACCAGTGAGTCTAACTCTTTGGTAGAACATGACAATTATCATTTTTTAAATTTCACATTTGGCTGTTTTTGTCTAGCCTTTCGCGGCCAGGAGCTGGTGTCATAATCGAGGTCACGATCTGATTATAGGACTGTAAAAAGTCGAGGGAAAAAAACAAGCACTTGCAGCTAGCAGTCGAGATATTATTAGGAGTTAGTTACCCTCATATTTGTGAGGTAGACTCGACCAGTGTTAGTTAGCTTACATAATCAGAGTTTGTGATTGCTTCTAACTGTGGCCCCAAAGGGGTGAACAGGGTATATGTGGCAATGAAACAGTTTTGACTGCTATACACATGTTCTCTTCAACTCTATTGATAGACTCTTCCAGCCTCATTTTAAGCTTACTTAATCAAAGCTTGCGACTGCTTATGGAGTAGCCCGAGAGGGATAACGAGCTAGACTAACTACGACACTTTAACCATCGTTGCAATATGAAATGACAACACAGCAATATGAGTTCAATCAGTGAACATCTTGCCGCTTAAAATAATTACATGATTATAACTTGCCTCGTTTTTGTTTGTTGATTTTTAGTTTTCTTTTCTTCCTTCTCATCCACCCTCCCAACCCCAACCCTTTCCCCTTTGTTTTTATGTGTGTGTTAATTTATGTTATCTGTTATTATTTAAACAATCTCAGCAATTCTCGTTCTATAGATTTAGCATGTGCCATTCTATACCTCCTCTTTTCCTCCCCAAACAAAGTTGTACACACGCACGCACAAACACACTCACACACACACACACACACACAGAGAGAGACACACACACACACACACACACACACACACACACACACAGAGAGAGAGAGAGAGAGAGAGAGAGAGAGAGAGAGAGAGAGAGAGAGAGAGAGAGAGAGAGAGAGAGAGACACACACACACACACGCACGCACACAAACACACGCACACACACACCTCAAGCAGTCAGCGATTAAACCAACCTCGCGTCGCCTAGTGACGTAGCCCATCACGCGCTACGCGTCAAAGCGAGCCCTCCACGGCGCGGACAAAAGCCCAAAGAGGAAGTGGAATATCTTGGTACATGCGCCGTAGTAGAAAATCGTTGGTTAAAATGTGAGCCCTGCTCTTCTGCCAACCTCATGCTCGGCCCTGTGGTTGTGAGTACTGGTGACATAACAAGGTTTGGCTGTTCTAGTACTTCCATGTCAGTGAAAACTGAGCCCACAGGGTCAAAAGCAATGAATCCTTCAACAGACGGTGAAGGTGTGCAAGACATTCCCTTCTTTCTGTCTATTTTTTCTAACTGTTGATCTTGCATTTTCTCGTGCACAAAATGGCCGGGCCCTATTGATGTCCTGGGGTACCTCTCCTTTTTCAAACTGGGGCTTTGAACTGGGGATTACTTGTAATGTAGTTCAAATAGTGATAATCAGTTGGTCCTGTGGGGTTTTATTTCTGCGCGAAATATTCTTAAAAGAAAAGAAAAGAAACCCAACGCCAAAAGAAAACAACACAAAACGGAACAGCAGTTAGTAGGGGCTTTTTATACCCTCAATCTTTATTTGGCCTACAGATGAATGTACTATAGTATACTGCTGTCGTGGCCTGCATAACTATAATACGACCATTGAGTTTTGCGAAGAATTTATACTCCCTAATTCATCATGCCGTTCAAAATGTCTTTTGTTGCTTACCATTCCCCACCCTCACCACCCAAAATACATCAACTGCTCTTCCCCCCCCCCCCCCCCCACCCCCCACTCCTCGTTTGAAAGAAAAATGGAAACCAAGTGAGAAAAGACACTCAAACAGAATCCATTACAGTACAAAAGAAATCAGAGCTGAACCAAAGCGTCAGACAAACATTCCAGGCTTCCGTGCTGCCTGTCCATGTTCTGTAAAGGATGTGCTTACAATAATAGTCGATAGGTAGTAATGCTATTTGTTCTAGATGGAAAAATTCGACCTTTGACTTCTTATCTGACTTGGACATTCGAGTGGAACTTACTATACCATATTGTATACACAGCCTAGCGTACTTCTTGTACGCTAAGATGCACAGTGATATTCTGATGTCGAATGTTAACACGTCAAATGGTGTCAACCGAGACGACCTTATTACAGAATGATAAGCACGGCTCGGTGTCGACTCCTCCTACTTCGACAAACATGAATCACCCGTATACAATGTACTTGGATGTACTGTACTCCTTTAAAACAAATCCTACAAACACTATGTCTATGGTGATCTTGAATCTGACTGGGTTTTTACGAATCGCGCAAGATACCGGTGGACGTGTATTGATATGACAAAGCTGCAATATTAAATGGTGTTGAAATGACGCAGTCGTGTTTGAGGACAATCATAAAACTCAATACTTGCAGTATTGCGGACAACGACTTAATACATTTTAATTTAGATATAATGTAATCATTGAAAAGAAAAGAGTCACCAGCCATACTGCATTTTGAAAGAAAAATATAGTATATGCGTACAAATGTTAACGAGTGAAATTGACTTTTGCTGTCAAGTTCGAATCAAATGAAAATTCCCTTTAATATATTTCTGTCTTGGGTTTCTATTGTGTCTTTGTATTCAATGAATACGCAAACATAATGAGACTGGACAATTTGAACAGAAAAAGTTGGAATTTTCTTCCCAATTTGCAACGAAATGTGAGTTTGTTCGTTCTTATGTTTTCAATTCAAACGACAGTATATAATTCCTCATTTACTGTAAGTTTGACACTTAGGATGGGTCATTTACAAAAACGAAAATGAATGAACAACAGAGATAAAAGAAATTAATCTTTAAAAAATGTGATACAATGAGAACTCATAAAAATTAGTTGTACGGCCAATTTTGTGTATTGTCGTACATTCACAAGAATAAAAAATAATAAAACGCACAAGAGTGGGTAAAGATGACACCAATGCAAACAAATAAAAACAATGTTAGATAGCAAGTATGAGCCACAAACATAAACATTTGCATGTTACTTTGCGACTTCAATTGTACCACATCAATGCTTGTTTTCATATCAGTTTATATGTTGTCACATATCATATATACGCACATAGCGAAATGCACACACAAAACGAATAGATTTTAAAGGCCGGAATTTTTTCTTTTACACGAGTATATTTTTCGTATTTAAAACGCATACACAAGACAATTCGTGCATAATGAAACGACTTCCGCGTTCTACCGATTTCGCTATGGGCGTGCTAGACAATGTATATGCCTACACGCAGGCTAATATAATTCATGATATCTTGGTTATGCAATATGTGAGCCAACAATTGTAATAATTATATCAAGGGATAACTACCTATTTACTTCAGAGCTATATCAGAGACCCAAAATTGTATACTGCAAGATGGTTCGAACGCTAAAAAAATAGGCTGTCAAATAGATGGGCTGTCAAGGGTGCTGATGAAGACCGGTGGTAATAATTTTGCTTCTTGAATACAGGGCATTAAGCACCATCTTTGCTCTTATTCCTGTTGTTTTTGCCCCAGGTAAGCCCTTCAGTATAAACAATGTAGTATCCTGTGAGCAACAATAATAATAATAGATGTCGGTACCAGTACTATTGAGAGCGTTAATTGTAATCTTTTTGATGCTGTTGTTTTGAGAAAGGTGGGGGGGGGGGGGGGTTCTTTCTTTTCTTTCTTTTTTTTTTGTATCACATAGAAAGGTGGGTTATTTTGTGAATATTATACATTCTTTGACAGTACTACGAAATAAGAGATTCTGTCGTGGAGCTGCAGAGTAGGCTTTACAAGAATTATGGACACAATTATAAAAGAAAACAAAACAAAACGAACAAACTTCAAACCATTTATCCTTTTTTTTAAAAAATCATTTGAACAATACCCAACTGTCCTTCTAATATACAGTGCAACAGAAGGGGGATCAACAAAAACAAAGTTTTCAACACATCCCCTAAACATTATATTAAATCTCATGAAAATAAAGAAGGTAATAGTCTAGTAAAGCTCTCCATTCGGAACTAACTAGACTTACTACGCACATCCCCCTCCCCACCCCCCTTCTTTTTAACGGGACCACATAATATGGGTCGTTGTAATGTTATGTAAAAATGACGTCTTAAATTTATTTTAAGATTGGGTCGTCAAATATACATCTACCGCCAAGTTCACTGTATACAGAGTCCGTGAAGTGCTCATCAATAGGAACTGACAGCAATCTAAGGTTCAACATTGTAGAAACATGGCAGGAATATAAAAAAAAAACAAGTCGAAAAGGAATTTTTTTAAAGAGAAAAGAAAACAGACGTTGGTTACATGGACATGTAAACGTATTTGAACTCAGGACAAAGAGATTGTTTGTGCATCATACATAAGCTTAAACAACGGGGAAGGGGGGAATAATACATGTATTGTAAACATTGTTGGTAAACACACACCCAAAACCAGCTGTTTTATACACCATGTCTCGCCCTCTTGTCCCTGTAAACAATCATTGTTATTCATGCACCAAAACCATTGTCTTCACCAGTATAACTTAGTCAGTCACTGACAAAAACCTATGTCATTACAATGATAACAAGAGTTCACATTGATAGTATGATCTTTATAGGCTTTACTTCCTATCGGCGACTCAAGTCCCTTAAGCGTACGGTACACTGCAAGATAAAGTAAGAAGCAAAGTATATGTATATCATAACCAACATTTTTCGATGAAAGAAAACGAATGTAGCATTCCGCATAATAAAACTTATCTTTCGAACTGATGACTATTCCGCTTACGAACCACTACAAGACTGTGCTGCTAGAGCAACAGGAACGAAAGCTGTACACACAATCCTGTGTGATGAGTAATCATATGCTCGAATTTTCAACAACATTCACATTTTATGAATTTATAAAACTCATTCTTCTCCGGGAGGGGCAGTAGTAAATTGTGAAAAGAGCTTGTGCATAAATCTTGGAGTCTAAACTTACATAAATAGTATATAGAGATAACGTTTCTAGCTGCGCCCGCTAAAGACTCATTGTGACTTTATAATAATTCCCTTGGCAGTCAGATGGGTTCTTTTCCTCATCCCAGTTTAGTTCCCAAGGAGACACATTGCACTTGAGTCTGTTACTACACCGCTATCTCTAAGTGCCATTCACATATCAGTTATAAGTATTAAGATATAGACATGAACTCGCTCAACTCACTTTTCAATGATGTGTTAAACGGGAACATGCACCCTGCCAAATCTAATCGACACCTTACGGTACAAGAGGACAGAACAAAATACAGAAACAGAACCCCACCAAGTCTTCATTTTTGGGGTTCATCAAAGAGATATGAACTTAAGAGCAATTTTTAAAAATTAAAAAACCCACTTGACGATTTTGATATCTGTACTGGAAAGGGAGAAAACATCTGCGAAGGAATATCTCAGTCAAGCTTTAACGTGAGTGCATTTGATATTCCAGAAACAAGCAACATAACCGAAGTTCTAATAGAGGATATTCAGCTCTGCCTTCATTCTTGGTTTATTGAATACTCTCTTGTAGATAACGACCCCACCCCAACCCCCCTTCATTTTTTTTACGTTTGATGATTTTTTGGGGGGTCTTTTCATCTTTCTGTCTTTTTATTTTCTTTCTATCCTTCTTTCTCTTTTTTTGTTAGTTTGTCTTATTTTGTTTTGTTTTCTACAAAATGGTGCATGATCCTTTTGTATCAAAATTAGTGTCCAGGTCGTCGGTATATTTTTTCATGTTTCCCAATTGCAGTTTGGGCTTGTCCACTACGCAAGTAAGGAGAGCCGCCATGTTTTTCAGGAGGACTTCCGCTTTTGCTCCACTCATGAGGCACGTTTTGTAGCCCAGATCGAGGGAGACAATCCCTGAGTGCAAGTGGTGCTGTACAAACAAGTTTGTCTCCATACCAATAGGAAGCACAGGAGGCTGGTGAGTTGTTTTGCTCATCACATATTGAATATTCTCTGGCGATGTCATTTCAATGCAGATACCGTGTGGGCTCTGATGAAACACCTCCATCACTCTCTCGGCCAGACTTTGAAAGTAAGTGAAAGGTAGCATTCCATGGTCAATGTGTTGCTGTACCTTGTTGTTGTTGGCCACTATAAACTCAACGAGGGTAAGTTTAGTGGTGGAATCAAGTGTCACAGGCAGAGGAATCTCGTTGGAAAAGTTCCCAACATTCCCGCTAATGTCCTTGTTGAAGCGTCGGAGGTCCACGGGGAAGATCAGGCTTAATGTTGATTTTCCAGTGAGGACGTGAAGAAGAATCTGGTAGCAGCTGGCCACTATGCCCAAGAGTGAAACTTTGTGGGTGCGTATAAAGGCCGTGAGTTTACGAGTGAGGTCAGGCGAAAGCAGAATGCGCTGCGCAGCATTCGTTGCTTCCAGTGGTTTTGGAGGATACTGTATCTTATGAGCCTTCAGAGAAGTGTTTCCAACGTCGTGGTTTAATGTTTTTGCCCAAAAATGGGTTAGAGCTTCCGATTTTGACTTATACACTTTGTTCAGTTCAGTGCTCAGGTCATCTTGTCGGATGATATATTTGTCTGGTTGAATCTTCTCAGTTGGGGGTTTGTTATCCTCGGAATGAAGGATGGCGGACAAGTCTTTCACAAATGAGTGCACCGATCGAAAATCGAAGACTGCTTTGTGGAAAACGATTCTTACCAGAGCTCGGTTCCCTTGTCGCATGATAAACCTCATAGGTCCCTTTCCTTTGAACTCAAAAACTTCTTCACAATACTGCTGCAGATTCTCCTCGGTAGAAGGCATCACACGGAAGTCCATAGCTTCTTCAGGTGAGAGAATTTTCTTTTCAAAGTTGAAAATGGTATTTCTCTTAGAACTGTCTTCTTTAAAGGCAAAACAAGCAGCTGGGTGCATCTCCAAGACTTTAATGATTGCAAGTTTTAGCGCTTCGGGATCTTGGCGCGCTTTGGGAAGCTCCACATCAACAATCCCGTGTAGGTACGACTTCCTCGGATGGCGTTTGTATATCACCAGTTGGCTCGACTCAACCACTGATGCTGTGAAACTTTTCACCTTTTCAGGGGGTGCAGGCAGTGCGGGTACCTCTTCCTTCTTCATTGGGGCATCACCACTTTCATTTTCCGCTGCAGCTATGGCCAACTGTTCCATGTCAGGGCCGAATTCGGAACCTTCCGCCATCTTTCCTGACAAGACATCATCAATCGCCTGGGCAATCGAGCGAACGGTGGGGTCATTGGTGATAAAGACAATAGCAGGTAGTCTGCAGTGAAGTTCCTTGTAGATCTGGTTGATCATCGTCATGCCAACGATGGAGTCCATCCCAATGTCAATGAGGCTGGTATCTGTCTTGATGGTTCCATCCTCGGCGCTAAGAACCTGGGTAGCCAAAGCTGTGACGTATCGCTCGTAAACATCCACTCGCTGGTCTGGAGGCAATTCGCGTGCTGTTTTCAGAGCGAGCAGAATATCCTCCTCAATTTTCACTTCTTCTGTTGCAGACCCGAGCATTGACATAAGCCTGTACTGAAAAGGCACGAGCATGTCTCTTTTCACACGTTTGACAAGAATTTCCTCGTCGAAAGTACAAGGAACAATCTGTGCCCAGTCTAATAACAAAATGGGAATGATCACAGCTGTGATGTCCTCCTCTGTCATGAGTATGAAACCTTGGTTTTCCAGAAACTTCTTGGCTTCTGTATAGTTGCTAAGGATTCCTGTATCCAGGGCTCCCCAGTTGATACTTTGCCCAGAGAGTTTCTTGTGTCTGCGATAGTGAGCAATGCCGTCCATGAAAGCATTACCAGCTCCGTAGTTGGCTTGCCCAGCATTACCGAGGGCAGAGGTGATAGAGGAATGCATTATGAAATAGTCTAGGGGAAGATCTTTTGTTAGCTGATGCAAGTTCCATACACCCATCACTTTCGGTGCCAGGACCTTTGAGAATGTTTTTGGATCAACATCAACAAGGAGTTGATCGTTCACAACAGCTGCACCGAAAAAGACCCCCTTTATCACGGAGCCACGGAACGAATTAAGCATGTTTTTGAAAGATGTTTTCAGAGAATCCAGGTTAGTGACATCCCCTTGGAAAGCCTTGATATTGCAATCTTCGGCTGTTATCAGATCTTCGATGTCCTTGTTTTGTTCCGCTGAAGCCTGTCTCCTGTTCAAAATAGCAATGTTTCCTGCCCCGTTGCTAGACAAAAATTTAACAAAGAGCCAACCGAGCCCTGTGAGGCCACCGACCACTATGTAAATGGCATCCTGGCGGAACAGCTCTGATTTCTCCATACGCACCAATGGACTCTTCATTTGGATGATCTGCACTTCTAACAGTTCATCTAGATCAGAAACGGCTGTTTTGAACACAGGATATGAGCTTGGTGCTTTATGAAGACAGCCTGCCACCCTGTTCATCAAAGATGCATGCTTTCTCATCCACTTCTTCACTTTGGGTACCGTAGAAGCAAGATTCTGGGGGTGGAACACCATGTTCGTGTCAAGTAGATCGACCTGAACGCTTGGCAGGAAGAAGGCAATCGGAGCTCGCGCTGAATCTTGTAGCAAAGAGGAGACCGTTATGAAGTGTTTTGCCATTGGCCATCTTTTCGCCAGAATCGGAACAACGGTCTCTTCTGTGAGGACCAAAGATACCACAGTTTCTCCCATGGACTCAACATTATTGAGTTCTTCAACAACCACCAAGTTCATTTGCACAGGTTTTGGTTTCCTTCGGCTCATCAGCATGCACAGCAAAGCTTCTCCAAATTTCGCAGTTGCAGAGGAAGCCAAGATTGTTGCAGTTGGCGTGAGAACCAGGTCTTGAAGACACCACAACAAAACAAGCCTGGAGAGATCTCCGGGCACGTAGTCCGGAATCATGTCTGCAGTAACTGTGGTGGAGGCAGGGACTTTTATTTTGGTTCCCGTAGGAACTGGATAGCACGAAATGAGAGGCACCTTGTGGTCAGTTTGTTTTTTACCGTTCACTGGAGCATTGCCGGTGCCTATGTTCTCAAGAGCAAACAACGGATACCCATTTCCTTTCTGCGATATCCTCTTTTCCATTGTACTATAGAGCATGGTCATGTTATACAACAGGGGGCTCTGGAAGGCTGTTGTGGACACATCAATGCTGATGTATGAAGCTTGCTCTACCTTCTCTTGGGGTTTGTGATAAACAGCAAAACTGTCCGTTAGAACAGATGGCTCGCGGCTCAAAAATATTACATTCTGCGACGTGTCAGCAAAGTTGTGGCGAAAAGTTGGTACTACGGTGTCCGGTTCCACAGCAATGAACTGGTTCACGAAAATGTCTTTCTCCGTGACCATGAACTCAGGGTAGCCCTTGAGAGCCTCGTCACTGAGGATCAAGTCGGTAATTGATGTGACAAAGTCTAGACAGAGCTTTCCTTCGGGCAGGTGAAGGTCGACGCTCGCGAAGTTTGTGTAGATTTGTTCCTTCAGCACACATCGGGTCATTCCCCACAGAGCTGTCATGAGAGGGTTAACATTCTCTGTTTCTGTTGTAACGTCTTCGGGGAGAAAGGCTCTTTGTGTGAACAAACACAAGGGGATGGTGAGCGATTTGTCAAAGGCATATTTATACAAGAACTTGAGCAACATACAAGAATTCAAAATCTTTGTGTGCACATCATAAGCATCTTCAGAGTCATCCATCTTCAAATTCGGAAGAAATATGATGAGTTCAAACGGTTCTGCTGTGTTTTTGAGCATTGTGTCCAACGTGTTCTGAAGGTAGTCTGAAGTCTGTTCCTGGGGATCATAAACGAGACATCTCTTCATGAGCGCTGTCGGTGTGCCTTCAGGTACACTGTCCGTGACGTAGAGCGCTTTCGGCTCCTTTGTTTCCTCACCGGTGTAATTCGATTTCTGAAGCTTCCAGTAGCATCTGTACATGTCTTGAACCGCATCCGATTTATCGGTCAGAGATTTGATGGCCAAGTCCTCCAGATCAGCAATGACTTCGCCCCACAGCGTTGTGAGTTTGATGTCGTAGAGAGTCAAAGTTCTGTCCGAGCACTTGAGAGTGGTGTAGATATACATTTCCTCTTCGGTTGGCCGATAGCATGTGAGCTTTCCTATTGACCTAGGCAACAAATCCCGAGCTTCATCCATTGTGTTCATCAGCAACACTGACGTCTGTACCATGCCATCCAGGATAGATGGGTGGATTGTTGTTCCACCGATTTCCATGAACATGGCCCTGGGGACAAAAATCTTGGCCAGACATTCTTGTGAACTTTTCAGGGCGTACATGAGCAGAGAGTAGCCAGGACCGTAAGTGAAGCCAAAACTTTTGAGGGAATCATAGATTTCTTCTCGCTTCACCATCTGTGTACAGCGTGCTTCTATGTGTCGGATGTTGATAGCAGGTGAGTGCTTCGGCATGTTGTGGGCCTGCAAGTGGATGTTGGCAAAAGTCTTATTCCCCTGTACAGCTGCCAGCTTGTAGCTCTGGTATTTCTCTACGCCGACTCCTTTGGCGGGTGAAGGCTTCACTTCAATGTCCAGTTCAACAGCACCATCTCTGGAAAAGGAACAAGGCTGTTCAAACCGCACCGACACTGAGTAGAGAGGTGCATCCATGCTGTCATTGTGCATCGCGACCGCAAAGCCAATCTCTGCGTACAAAGCCCCAGGAATGATAAGCATACCAGAGACGATGTGGTCATACACGGAGGGAAATGTCAGGGCAGTTATGATTGTCTTGAACTCATTGGTTGTGTCCACTTTGTATACAAAAGGGTGCTCTTTTCTCATGTAGTGCACACCAGACAGAATCATGTGCGCTGACTCGCATAACTGGAGAACCCTCCGAGGGTTGAAGCTGTAGCGTGGAATACACGTCACAACTGTGCCTTTTGTGGGAAGATTCTTCCACTTTATGTTGAAGCCTTGTTCATAGAGACTCACCACAGCTTGCAAGAAAATCTTCCACTCTGGCTGTTTGTACATAGAGACAATAGGCACCACGATGTCCTGTGGGAAGATGTCGCCCGAATGTGCCCTGAGAACAGGTTTCGGACCAATCTCAATGTACACGTTTTTGGAACCTTTGGTCACAGTTTTCTGTACAGCTTCGTAGAAACGCACAGGTTCTCTCATGTTGCTAACCCAGTAATCAGCGTCCAGTGGACCCATGACCGGTTCGGCCAACACTGAAGAGATCATATCAACATCAGGTGGGTTTGGAGTGATGTCCGATAGAGCTTGTTTCAGGTCCTCCTTACAACCATCCACATGGTGGCTGTGATAGGCCACTGGCACCTGGAGATCGATCAACTGTATCTGGGCGCCGATAGACCTGGCTTTGGACTGAAGCTCTTGCTTGACTTGTGTGATAATGTTGTTGTTTCCACTTACAGCGCATGCAACAGGGCTGTACTCCAGCGAAACGTTGGCTAGCCCTTGAAAGTTTTTGACAACTTCCTTGACCTTTGACACCAGCATGTTTCTGACGATGACCATCTTGCCGCCAATAACCTTGGCCATCAATGTAGTGCGGAAGTACACAATTTTGACAGCGTCTCGTAGAGAGAGAATTCCGGCAAAAAAGGCCGCTGCCACTTCCCCCACTGACTGACCTACCACACACGCTGGGGTCACTCCCAAAGATGCCCACACCCGGCCAAGACCTACCTGACATGCAAAGATTGCAATGGGGGAAAATTCCGGGTCGTCGAAATAGCTTTCCTGCTCAAATCGTGTAATCAGAGACCATGAAACGTACTCACACAGATATTCATCAATCTGAACTATTGCATCCCTGAAGGCAGAGCTCTCATCCAGCATCTCTTTACACATACCCTTCCAGGTTGTGCCCATCCCACAAAAAACAAATACCGCTTTCGCTCTTCTGTTTGCAACAATCCCTTTCTCCCCCTTCTGAATGTGATCATTGAGCTTTGACAACAGTTCAGACATGTCTTCAATCACACATGCAAACCTGATATTGTAATGATCTCGCCGCACTGTGGAGGTATAGGAAACATCGTGAACATCGAGAGAGCTTACCTCTGGGTGCTGCACGAAGTCTTCTATACTTCCTTTCAACGACTTCTCATGTTTAGCTGAGAAACAGACAATACATGGAATGCTTAGAACCTCGCTTTGGCTCGATCGTCTCATTAGATCGTGCTCGACAAACGCTTTGACCACGGCGTGACAATTTGTCCCCCCAAACCCAAAAGAGTTTACGCACGCAATCTTGTTACGACGGGGCCAGTCCATAGCCTTTGTTGGGACTTGAAGATTTAGGTCCGGGAAGTCAATCTTGGGATTGGGTCTGTCGAAGAAGAGTGACGGTGCTATTTTGGAGTGTTTCATCATTAGCAGAACCTTGATGAGGCCTGCCGTCCCAGCTGCCGATTCCAGATGGCCAACGTTTGTTTTCACGGAGCCGATATAGCGCTGCCTCGTAGTTCCCTTAGAGCGGAAGAATGTGCCCAGCGCTTTCGCTTCTACAGGATCACCAGCCGATGTCCCAGTACCTTTGAACATAAAAAAGAAATATGAGTGAAGCGGGTTAAAAAGTACGTGTAATAAAATCAACAACGCCTTTCCTCTTTGTTTCTACCTCCCCCCTTTTTTTTTAAATCTGTCTCCGCTCCCCCTGTTTGTTTGGTTTGGGTTTTTAAAAGCGTTTTGCGGCTCTCACATCGGCATAAGGTCATATGAGCGCGTGGGACACATTAAATATTTTTAGTTGGTAGGAAATTATGAATTTTGTCCCGGTGGCGGTTGAAGCCTACTCGTATCGATTTTGGACCACCAAGGGATCTTTAACACGAGCAACTTGAACACAGATTTATTCTTTACCGTGTTAGTATTTGTCAACTCCGTCTAATTTCCTGTGGGTGGTTCAGTACCTGTCATTTTTTTACGTTCTGTCATCTGTCTGCACGTGTAACTATGCATCAGCATGCATCCTATGCTCATGTTGCTTTTATTTAGAGAAAGAAAAATCCATCTAAATATACATTTTTAAAAAAAAGAAACAATTAATTGTTCTAAACGCCGCACAAGACACCAACGATTTATTGCTTTCTTAATTCACTAGACAAGAGTGGGTGTCCATTGTCATCCATTAACCGCATGACAGGGTCTGTCCCTGGAAAATGGTACAGCAAATATTTCCTTGCAAAATTTTATATGTTTGCTTTTGTTTGCTTTGTTGTTGGTGGTTTTTTCTGTTTTTTCCATTCTACTTTAGTTCTTTTTTTTTTAATCTGTTAAAATTATTTTTATAGGATGAGGTAACGCTTCAGCGCAAAGTACATTGTAATTGCCATGCTGCAAAGGCTAGGGAGAACCCATGACTTCAAGGACATCGCCTCCCCCTCCCTTTGCCAAGAAAGAACAAAATATACCCCCCCCCCCCCACACACACACACTCACACACTCACACTCACATTTACACTCACACACAGACACACACACACTCTCTCTCTCTCTCTCTCTCTCTCTCTCTCTCTCTCTCTCTCTCTCTCTCTCTCTCTCTCTCTCTTTCTCTCTCTCGCTCTAACACACACACACACACACACACACCGACAAACACACATACACTCTATCTCTCTCTCTTTCACACACACACACACACACACACACACACACACACACACACACACACACACACACACACACACACGCACGCACAGTCCCTCACTCACTCACTCACTTTCCTTGAAAGAAAAATACAAGTGAAAAGGTGAGTTTGTGGTATTTCTTTTAAGTAAACAATTATAGTGCAAAGCTCTAAATTCTACGAGTAGGTTGTACGGTAAATCTTTGTTTTTGTGTCCTTTAATGGATTATATACGCAGTTTATCACCTTACACTGAATATAATAATTTGTGACCTGCAAACATAAGTCGATTGCTGCACGTAAATAGCTGGAGGGCACCAGTGGTAGGTCATAGTATTTCTTTTTTTTTCTTATAATTTTATGTCATTTTTTAGTGTCTATTTTGCTTTTTTCATACACTAAGTGGCCTTTTTCGTGTTTTGGGTTTAAATGACAAAAGAAAAGAAAATCAGCACAATAAAGGTCATTTCGTGCACAGTAAAAGTTAGTTAGATAGACAGAGACAAAAGAAGGAAAAAGAGTAATTTGACCTTCCAATAACGCCCTTCAACCACACTTTCGCTTTCCTCTTGACGTGTTTCTCTTTTTTAAAGGTGCTTTATGCTCCCATTAACAAAATTTGTATAATCTTCAAGGCAGGCTTGGACCCTGCTCGTCAAGGCCAACCCGGTTTCAGACGGATACGACTTTCCAACAGAAAGACCGAGATACTCCGTTCTTTTAAAATATCTCCCCATACTGGAGTCAAACTCGAGTCTTCCGCTACTGTACAGGCGCCGGTGAATGTTCGTTACAGTCGATATCGACGAACTAAACTAGTATAAACTTTGATAAGGTAGCATGTACTGGATTTACAAGACCAATTTGTCTATTATAATTTTAGCAATAGAACGGTTCTTTTTATATTAAATGAGACTGTTATCGCTGCTAACCGAAACTTAGAAAAATACCCTTCATAAGCTTCTTTGAGGGGGGGCTACACCTGAAGGCTATCTCGCTTATTAGTGGACCAAATTTCGCCAAATTTCGCACATATAACAAGCATAGTAAGGAGTCTTAAATCTGCAATCAAATTTGAGAAAAAAAGTTTCGTTTCCTTGGATACGGCGGCCATATTGGATTTTGTTGACATGTCTTACATAATACATACCGCACTTATTTTTCATGGAAATTTATTGTTGTTTTTGTTTGTTGTTGTTGTTGTTTTTTTTGCATGCAGGTCAGCAAACATTAGATCTAAAAATGTGTCCGTTGTTTTTTTCGTAAACGAATTAGAACATTTTAAATAAATTTTTTCCTGAAGTAGTATTCAAGTTTGCGAAAAATCCGTAAAAATCCACACTCCGGACACCACCAACAAAAATCTATTCGATATATAAAAAATTAAATAAACAATTTTTTAGTATTACATCTTCTCTTCATTCTGTGAAAATGTCATGACATTTGAAAAATGGTGGAGTTCTTAAAAAAATTATAGAGGGAAATTGCGTTTTCAGAAAACGTCCGATAAAGAATTTTGACTTTATGACGAAATGGTGGTGATAAACATGCCCGTGCGATGCAATAGTTGTAGGAGAGGCTGAAGAAGCTAAAAATGCCTACAACTCAAATTCTATAACTTTTAGCCCCCCCAAAGATGCAAGTCTTTTGTAAATTTAGAATCACGGTGGTTACCGGTTTATCGAAACAAAGACATTCTGGCATCATGAGACTTTCCCTGACTCGAGACTTGATTATTTTTTTATTGTGATTTTGAAATTTCTTTTAGGAGTCATACTGTCTATAAATGTCGTGCTGCTAAACCCCGAGGCTTTAAGTATTAGCATACCACGATGACGCTTTATTGAAACTTTTCTTCGGGTTTTTTTCTGTTTTGGGGGGATTTGTTATTTGTTTCATGTTTTATGTGTGTGTGTTGGGGGGGGGGTTAAGCGGGGGCAGTTGTGTTTCATTTGTCTTTAAAAATAGGCTAACTATAATGATGATGATGACATAATTTATGTTAATAGCAATATCGGGTATGTGGGTAATAATGATGATGATGATGATGATGATGATGATGATGATGATGATGATGATGATGATGATGATGATGATGATGATGATGATGATGATGATGTATTTTTGTCGTAGTGAAGGAAAGCATCCACACGTAGTAGAGGCAACCACATTTTAATAATTTAGGACATTTTTTTAAAATATCGGTCAGTTGACGAAAAGCGAACAAAAAGAAAGCCGCGAAAGTAATGAACATAAACTGTGCGCTTCATGTAACTGTAAACCGGAATGCTAAAAGAATACATCTCTCAAGGATTACATCTGTCGCCCATATATTTCCTGATTGCTCAAGACGTTTCTAAGGGAATTCTGACCTCATATTCATGGCGTCGGTCTCGCAATGTAAAGATTTTCACATGATCCCTGGAACGGGAGGTACAAGTAACGCGTCATGTTGTATCACTTTTTTTTTAAATTAACTAAAAAGCAATTTACATCCAAGCTCTTTACCTCAAGCCATACACCTGAATGCTTTCCAAAGTCTGTGGTCATAGCTTCTTTCTCTGCCTTGAGAGCTAAATCAATGTCTTGCATTCGAATAGCAAGATTAACAGCTATCAAATCGTGTATTTCTGTCTTTATGGGGGATACCTCACAACAGAAAAACGGAGATACTGTTTAGAATATCGCGAAATTGAACTTGAATCTTAGCCAGATAAAGCAAAGAGCCCAACCGTTAAGTCACAGACATATTGAAGGGGTATCCGTAATGTGTGATAAGTTCTTACCGTGAGCCTCGATATAATCTATGCCTTCCAAATCCATGGCTGCGTCCTGATACACAGTCTCCAGAAGGCGGAGCTGTTGATCGCCGGATGGGGCGGAGATTGGTGTCACCGAGTGACCGTCTTGGTTGGAGCCTGTCTCTATTGTAGCCCAGATGTGGTCACCGTCGCGGAGCGCCTGGCAATGTAAAGCATAACAGGTTAACGTGTTGATTTTTAATGATGAATTCTTTTATTCTAATCAAAGACTCACGAGTCGGGAAAATAATTAAAACATTATCAGCCTCAAAATTTGTGGCATTTTAGAAACTATTTCAGTGCCCCATGGGAAAGTAGGACTTGGCCTTCAAGAAGACAGGGCGAAATAAATAAGACATCGTAAAACATATGAAATCTCTCGGGGTCGCTAATCTGTCATAATTGAGATAACATTATTCTTAGTGAAGGAGGGGGTGCAGTGACACGATAACAGCAATCTAATACCCAGGGAAGAAAGCAGAATAGGAAGAGAGGCTGTAAAGCAACAAAACTACCAAAACGGAGAAAGGCACTTTTCAGTATCGAAAGTAAATTAGGGATTCAGAACAAAAGCCATAGGTGAAAATCTTGGATAAAGTACCATTCTACCTATTACCCAAAAGTAAACGACTAGTCAGAACAATCCAAACATTGTTGACTCTTCTTCTACGATAAGTCGCCATAACAGAAGAGAGGTTCCCATTCATAAAGATGCAGACAGCGACCTCAACGCTTAACGGCAACAGAGGATGAAACAGTAAAAGTAAGCAGACAGCGAGCGTTTCTACGAGTGCCGTTGGACGAGTAAAGAAGACAGAGATAGATTGGCATGGCGTGTTACGGGGTTTAACGTGGGAGTCTGGGAAGACGGATTCGAAAGGAAAACACTAGTGATATTGTTAGTGCTGAATCAATGGGCCCTACTTTTCCTTTTGGCACTAATTGGGCGACTTACGTCTTTGAGCCTTTTCAGGATGACCATTCCGCAGCCCTCCCCTCTCGTGTATCCGTCCGCGCTGTCGGAGAAGGCGAAACACTGGCCGGTGGGTGACACCATGTGGGCTTTGCTCAGATGAACGAACACGTCGGGAGACATGAGGAAATTAGTTCCACCGCACAGGGCAAGGTCACAGTCACCTAGGTAGAACAATGCAGTGCAATATTGCGTGTCAGACACAGGTAAGTGCGGACAGTGGTGCTGCTGACAGTGATAAACGAAGACGGGGACTCGTGTGCGTCATGGGAAGCCATAACCTTGTCACGTTTTGTCGGGACCGGAAGGTAAAATAGGACAAACCAGGAGAGATGGGATGGGGAGGGGTGGGAGTTGGTGATTATGACCCAGTTGTCAGTACATTTTGTGCCTCTGTGGGTCAGATCATTAACCTACATTGTTATTTTTAAATATTGTTTTGGATCTACTTTAAGCTTCTTCGTGGTGTTCTTGACGGCAGTCAGCCCGACCATAGACGTTAACCTTGGGGACACCAAGTCAAGGCTGGTTTATCATTGGTTGCTAGTTGTTTGTTTTTCTCAATAATTTATTTTTCTATTAATGTCATTTATTTACCTATTTTTTGTAGGGGTGAGGATGGGGTGTGAGGTGAGATAACGACGCTCTGAGCAATACATAAGAGTAAGGGGTAGCCTAGATAATTTTTCTTCAAGAAATCACTTCAATCGAAATAATATCGTTTCAGTTGAGTAAATATCAATGTACTATTGTGTATCTTACGACTTGGCAATACACTTCAAAGATAGTCACAACGCAGAGAGATGATATTATATTATTGTTATGGTTGTGTTTACCTGTTCTAAGGGCTTGGGCACCCACGTGAATGGCAACCAGGGCAGAGGAGCAAGCTGTATCTAGGGTCATGGAAGGACCTCGAAGGTCGAAGGTGAAGGACACACGGGCAGAAATTATGCTGTTGGAGATGCCAGTCACTGTGTAGTTGCCCACGATTGGAGATTTAGCGGTGAACAAAGCCCGGTAGTCGCCGTTCATAGCTCCTGAAACAAGAAGTGAGTGCGTGTGTTTGCGTTAAAGTGTGCGTGTTTTTTTTGGTTTTTTGTTGGGGGTTTTTTTTTTGGGGGGGGGGCGTTAGTATCTTTTAAAGTTCATATCGACCTAATAAGACAGATGCATAGAGGTACAAAGAAAATAGACTTACCCACATGGGAATGGAAGGAACGTTTTTTCTAAAATTATGAGGGCGCGCGGTGTATTGGTGTGTGTGTGCGTGTGTGTGCGCGCGTGTGTGTGTGCGCGCATGTGTGTGTGTGTGTGTGTGTGTGTGTGTGTGTGTATTGTGTGTGTGTAAGTGTTTGTGTATGTGTGTGCGTGTTTGTGTACAAAAGCGAAAAGCTAACCGTCACAACAATGACGCTGGAATGCGTTCATTTTTGCACACAGCGGACTTGCTGTTTGACCCCCTTGTGAGAACGATGGATGCATGTTATGTTTTACCGGTGTTTTTTCTACTCTAATCTATCATGGACAACTCATGTTGGATGTGATTGGTAGAGCCGAATCACCCTACTTTCTATTTTCAACGACAACCACAGTTTATGTTGGTTTTTAAAAGCATGTATTGCTGTACTACTTGTATTTGAAACCTTGAGAAAAAATACACGCTTTCAAAATGTTTGTTCTGCTGAGAAAAAAAAATTGCCAAATGCAAACACTATTCATGGTATAATATTACTCATTTTACGTTAAACCCAGAAAGTGACATGACCTGCTTTGAACACAGTACAGCAAACATTATTCTTAATTTTCTGCATAGTACTATAAACTTGTTATGTTGTATTTGAAGTGCCTTTCAAGAAGCATAGGTTCTGTTTGGAAATGGTCAAAAGAAATGCCGAGGTCTTCTTTGTAGTTAACCACACATAATACTTGTGTTATAGAGATTCAGCACCCGTGGTGAACGAGGCAATTTTCCTGATTTTCCACACGGAAATCTGAGGTTCCAATACAAACTGTGACCAGAATTTCCAAGTATCCCAACGTGGGATAAGATACCAGGTCTTGGAGACTACGTAACCCCCCAGACAAGATAAATAAGCGATCTCTGCGTGGTGCTGGGTACTTCGGATTACCAATGCCTATCCTCAATCCAGACCCAACGGCAAAAAACAACACCTAGATCTAGGCGGATATGGCAGTACGACCAGGTTTTTTTTACCAAAGGCTCAACTGGACTCAATAGGATAGGCTCTGCCCCAGACGACACCTGCCCGAGATGTTGTGTGAGTCCCGACGACTTACGACACGCATTATTCGAGTGACTGCACGGAGACCTGTATCGCAGACCGCTGATGCAAGACAATACCCGGCCCGGACCAGATGTGCTATGGACCAAACCCAAAGAGGTCCATCATAAATTATTTATTTATAGAGGCATCAGCAATCCATGTCCAGGTGCTGTTTTAGCCACCCAAAGAGGTCGTCACATTCTGACCGCATGCGGCCGGCTGCCGACCCCCGTGGGAGGTAAGGGTGACACAGAAACCAACACTAAGCACTCACGTA